GATTAGTATTTTTTGCCAAAATCCCAAATCCCAAATCCCAAATACTAGTAATTTGGGATTTGGGCAACACGTATAGTTGTATTGTCATATTGCTGAAGATTCCATGATTGATCTGGCTTCTGTAACATAATATTCCTATCTTTTAAGAGGGCAGTATACAAATCGAGTACCTTGCCATATTTTTGTACAGGCAATTCAGTTCCCCCTATAACAGCCGCCACGGCACATAAGAAGGTGCGTTATTGCCAGAATTAGTATACTTATAAATCAATTTGTTATATGGACGATAATCTCTTCCGGAAAGTTTTTTTTGCCACTTTTCAGGATTTTGCATTATCGTATGTCCCGCATAATTAGTTTCACTAAGTGGGCCCACTTCATTAATTTTGCCTTCTTTTTGTGTAGAGAAAACATGAGTATTATCCTTAAGTTGATTATGTATCTTATTACGCCCAATTCTGATGGCTTGTTCAGACCATGGCCTTTCAGGAACTTGAGTGTCGGCATTAACCCCCATCGCTTGAACTAAACCAGAACTTCAACTTTGCATTTGTGTTCAAGCAAGATTAAGATTGGGCCCCATTTGCGCTTCTCGAGGATCATTCCCCAAAAAACCTAAAGATAATTCGGGATGACGCACTGGATTGGCAACTTGACCCCGAGAGCCATGATATCGCAGATTCAAGACAGATTGTGAATGCGCTAGATCTTTGCATGATAGATCACTCTCTAGCCAGGGTTCTTCTAACCTTCGATCAATGATCTGTTTGCGCACATAGTCAGTATAATAATCTTCATGATCATGGAAAGCATCCACTTGGGCAATGGCATCAATAAGGAGTGGATCGGTTTCTTCCATTTTCCTATTTAATGCAGACGAAGGCATGCCTCCATAAGGTAAAGCTTGCCTATTGCGAATACAGCGAGTAGTTTTTGTACCATACATTAAAGGTATACAATAAATTATAAAAGATATTATATTCCGACTTGCAAAATTTTATCAAGTATATCAACGGCATTACGCCAATTTGAATCAGTTGTATATTCAATCAACATGCCTTGTAAAAAGAATAGCGGGTCAAATTATCATTTAATATATGTATAACTAATTTCACACTATTTTTTGTTTTAAGCTACAAACTTTTCAGGATTCTATAGATTTCGACAGAATTTTGACTCGGTGTATCAATGAAATTCAATCGAGCATATACAGATTTAATAAAGCAGTTACAGCCTTCCTTAGTTGAAGAATCGTGGAAACGTCTAACTACAAGAAAGCGTAATCCACTGACAGAATTAGAAGCATGTAGTATAGATCCAAATATTGAAGATTTTTTGCAACATGAAATTATAGTTTATAATAGGAAAAAAGAACGTCAGCGCCGAAGTCCATCATCACTTGAAAATTTATCATATAGTATAATCATGACTAATCAGGAAACTCAAACCCAAGATATTGTCTGACCTGTAATCAGGCATATAAGTACCCCTGCTTTGCGTGTGAGGAAGAAATCAATTGTCGCGTTAAGAAAGAGTTAGATAGTTTATCCCTACAATTGCTTGAATACAATGAAAAAACTTTTGGCTCCTTAATGCGAGAAATCACTAAACAGCTTGAGGAACGGGTTAATGCTAATAATAAATTACGCAGTGAAATAGAACAACAAAAAATAAAATTATATAAAGCAGAAAAATTACTCGCGAGTCTGAAGCCCCAATAATAAGTAGTGAGTATTAGCAGAGCTAGTGTCTCTGACATATATTATATTTTTTAACACGAAGTACAACTTGACAGATATGTACACCCCAACTAATCTGAAAAATGTCTTGCATACCCGAAATCACACTCCGGTTAGATAGAATGTTTATTATTTTTTAATGCCTCGATTTTCTTTTCTAGATCAAGAGGGGTATCCCATCGAAGTGAAAAAGACTCAGATCTCGGTTTATTCAGATCTATAACTATAAACTCTTTTTGCCTCAAATACCCATCAATAATTTTTGCAGATTTGCGTGGATCCGCATTAGTATATGAACTTATAATATCCGTAAGTTTTCGAATAGAGTCCCCGCCATTAAAGAGAACAATGTGGGTGACATTTTCACGAATATCTATTGGAATTTTGTGAAATTTTTGAGTGACATAAATTGAAGAGATATTCTCATGACAACCTCGGGTGAAAAATGGAATAATTTTTTTCTGTATAGCCGAAGGGTCAGAGTAAAGATCTTCGAATATCGCTAATGTACTTCTTTTAGCATTAAACTTTTTGGGATCTGGAATTTTATCAGAAGATAGTGTAGAAAATGTGACATCTTCATAATAGGGCTTTGATTTGTCTTGGGCAAGATATTTATAAAAATCTCGAACTATTTTATATTTTGGCTCATTTAAATGATGTCCGAATAGAACTACATCATCGCATTTAATATTACGTTCCCCTATCTTAGAACACTTTCTCTTCTTAAACATGTAATAAAATTTGGGCATTGTTAGCAAGTTTAATTCATATTGGTCTTACCTGAATTGCTAGCCTCCGCCATTACGATACGAAAAGGCCACACTGGTGCATCTTTATCTCCCTGGTATTTTTTCGAAGGTTTTACCTCGTCCACGGCGAATACACAATATAACATCTTTTCGTTATAAATATATATATTATGTTTTTTATTCTGACGAAATATTTGATTTTGACACACTATTTATATCTGTGTTTGGTAGATAACCTTTTTCTTGTAATTTGCTTTTTATATATGAGAATAAATCATCATCATACGGTATTTCAATAAGATCTATACCTTGCTCCTCGCATATATCCCGCTTTTTTTCATTACGTTTTCTTTGCTCATCTAGATCATCTTTATTTTTGTAATATAAACTATTGCGATGATAGTGTTGGATCCCATTATATTCCCATGCCAATTTTAGCTCTTCGTTGTATCCATCGAGTCGTAATTTTTCCAAAAATGGGGCTGAACATGGTGAAAATTTCTTACCTAATAAATCTTCGAATATATATCTTACACTTCTCTCGGTTGTGTGAGAACAAATTGGACACCATTCGAACTTCTCGGCTATGAGTGGATATGGATACTCCCATTGATGGAGTCCGTTTTCACATGACCAGAGATATACATCAAAATCATTTATTTGGCCAGTTTTCATAATACAATGTCCACCACGCTTCCTGGCATATTGTTGTGCTTTAGCCATTTTATTAATAATACGAACGAAATTAAC